CATAAGTCATTTATTTCCCAGCAGGAAAGATAATGTTTTAAGCCAATTTTAGACCATATAATGACTCACGTTCCCATCAGAGTAGAATGCATACACTTTGAATCCTGTTTCTTGATTGAAAACGTGATGTGGCTTTAAGCCTGTGACTATTTACAGAAGTGCTTGTGTATCCAGACATTACAAATTTAAAAGAAATGCACTGCAATGATTCAGATCTACATTAGGACCTGAACCACTGGCTTGGGAAATGGGTCTACTTATGACTAACATTGGATTCCATCCAGCAAAACAGACATATCCATGGAAATAAAGGGAAATATTTCACATATATTTAGGTGTAAGGATAAAAAAAAGAAGTTACGCATTTAGACTGGCTGAAAACTACTTGTCTGGACCTACCAGGAGGTGAAGCACATTAAACTGTACCTGCTTACCTTTCATGTAGTGTCCTTAATTACACAAAGGATTCCGACAGTGCAATGGCCATAAATTATGGCTCCTACTTTTGTGCTAAATTGCTTATGTGCCTGCATAACTTGCTAACCAGAAAATCTTGCCAAAGGCATAACTACTTTACCTAGCTGCACTCTTCCTGAGGTCTATCCAATATGAACTTATTTAGAACAATAGCCCATTTACTTTATAAATCACTGTGTGTGTTGCCATAGCTTTCAAACTTAGAGCATTAAATCAATTATTATTACTGAATGGAGGAAGAATGCAACATTACAGCTTTTCTGGCAGAGCATGTATCAATGAGATATTGATCTGGCTATGATAAAAATGTGCTGAATGGGCTCAGGAGTGGAAAGAGTGTTATCTTCATCCTGCAGTTTGTGTTAAAATAAGACACACTCCTAGGAAAGGAGTTGTCTTTTGTCTCCTCCTACCCCAAATCTTTACATGGACTAAGTGACAGCACTAGTCATTTTTCTAATCAACAGAAGCCAGAGAGGAGTGTGACTTAGAGTGATGCTTGCTTTTAGAGATTTGAGGGCCAGCAGGCTAGAGGCCTAACTACTCCACCTCTCTTTTTAATGGGAGTTACACAGAACATCACACAGGACATAGTTGCTGCAGAAAGGGATTGTAGTTTGTAAGGTAGATGACAGAAGTATTTGGTGTGTGTGTGCAGTAGATCATGCCTGGAACTATGTGACCTCACCTATCATACCGTGTGACAGTAACAGATTTTGTGGCTTGTGAGTGCAGTGGGAATGATGCACATTAGACCAGACTGTTAGGTAAACTCATGGCACAACTTTATTGATTATAGAGCAGTTAAGCGGAGTTAAGCAGTTGACAGTTAAGCAGTTAAGGAAATCAGGAAATCAGACCTGAGTGCTCACTGGAAGGACAGATCGTGAAGCTGAGGCTCCAATACTTTGGCCACCTCATGAGAAGAGAAGACTCCCTGGAAAAGACCCTGATGTTGGGAAAGATGGAGGGCACAAGGAGAAGGGGACGACAGAGGATGAGATGGCTGGACAGTGTACTTGAAGCTACTAACATGAGTTTGACCAAACTGCGGGAGGCAGTGGAAGACAGGAGTGCCTGGCGTGCTCTGGTCCATGGGGTCACAAAGAGTTGGACGCTACTAAACGACTAAACAACAACAACAACAAGCGGAGTTGGCATGGCAGTAGGGCAAAGATTGAGTTAGCATTACAACAAGCACTTGCTATTGGAATGGTATCCTGCTCAATGGTTTTGAAACATCAGTTACACCCTTGGGAGTTATCCAGTGTTGGATCCTGGTGTGGGGCAAGCCAAGCATCTAGGATCCTACTGGGCAACCGGGGGAGAGGTTTAGGAAAGGCCAGGCCCCACCCGAACTAGGGACATGCCTTGATCTTCTCCTCTGCAACATACCCTAGGAAGGCCTTCCTACTGTTTTGATCCTTCCCAGTGCCATTTCCACAGATTGTTGTGATGAAAGCTTTAGAACATGTGACACAAAGGTGAAAACCTTCTAACCCAGAGTCAGCTGAGGTTGAGAGTAAAGTTCCTTTCCAGCTCTGTTTACCGGCAACTCAAGAGCCCAGTGAAGTATTAATACTGAGAGAGGGATGGTGAATGGGAAGCTGACGGGCTTTTAAGCCCTCAGCCACATGACTCCCTGTAAGAGGATGTTTCCTTGTGTGGGAACTTGCAATATGCCTAATTTTTATGTGAGGAAAGGGCAATTGCATCTTGACACTAATGCACATGCACATAAATATATACACATGAGCACTGAGGCATGCCATAGTGACAATTGTTCCTTTGTGAGGCCTGTTTAATCTTCATGTACCTACCTGTCCAGCTATTAAACATAACTGAATAATTTTTAGTTGGAGCTGTTCTGTAACACTGCCCAGTGTTAGATTAAACACACTGCTTTAGAAGTTATACAATTGCAGATTACAGATATAGAATGCTAAAATTATGCAGGTGTTCTTGTTTTCAGTGGTAGACTCTTGACAGGTATACTTTCAAGGATAAATCTATTGGAGAACATAAAGTAACACCTGCCTTTTGAAATGGTATAGTCCATTCTAGCACCTCAAGACTCTACCACCATGCTCTGCTACATGGGTAGACCACGCCTGATGAGGAATCTACTTTTCCAGAAATAGTGCCATGGAATATTTCTCGGCCAAGAGCAAATGTATGAGACAGCCGTGATGTATGCAACATGTTCCTTGAAACCAGACTTCATGAATTTTAGATAAAGTGCAAAGTTAAAGCCTGTCGTTCCTCATGCATGATGGATAACTAAGTAAAACCAGCAAAGATAAAGTCCCCAATAAATCTTATAATAAGCTGAATTTTAGTCAGTGAGATATTCATACTCTTCTCCAGAGAGACCTTGCTCCATTTTCATTGCTGGTGGTATATTTCTCTTCCCCACCCCAAGTACTATCAGTAAAAATATGCTGGTCTTTGTGAAATTAAAATCAGGTCCTTTCGTGTTTTAAAATAGAAATGAAATACTAGCCAAGGCTTTGTTCTTTGAATAGACCGATGAAGAAATTGTATAGCAATGCTAATGAACTGCTCACATTGAATGCTATCGTGCATGCAACATAGGTTTTTGAATGTGGGATTAATCCATAAGGAAATGTTATTATTTATAAGATCTGCAACATATTGCTTATTGTTGCCATGAATAAAAACCTGCTGACTGTGTTTTTATTTTTGGAAATAAAACCTACTCTGCTGGCAAAGTTAGCACATTTGTTGTTAGAAGGAGACTATGGATAAAAAATGTGAAGCAGAGATGTACATGTTGAAAGTGAAAATTAATCAACAATGGAGTGTTTTCACATCATAAATACTTTGCGCATGAAATCTTCTAGGCTAAAGTTAATGACCGGGGGGAGCATGGAATTTAAGATAGAAAGGGGTAATGATATTTGTTGGCATTTGTCTGACCTGGGAGACAATGGAGGAGTGTGTCTTTGGGGGTGAAGTCAAACTGTTGGAAGGTTATAATGCCTGATGTAGCTGTAGAGACCGATACAGGAGAGACATGTTTTGTTTCAGCTGGGCAGATGAAGGTGTCTGGTTGTGCTGTTGCAGATGCAGCTTGGGGTTTATTCTTTCTTTGAGAGCCAGTGTGGTGTAGTGGTTAAGAGCGGTAGACTCGTAATCTGGGGAACCGGGTTCGCGTCTCCACTCCTCCACATGCAGCTGCTGGGTGACCTTGGGCTAGTCACACTTTGAAGTCTCAGCCCCACTCACCTCACAGAGTGTTTGTTGTGGGGGAGGAAGGGAAAGGAGAATGTTAGCCGCTTTGAGACTCCTTTGGGTAGTGATAAAGCGGGATATCAAATCCAAACTCTTCTTTCTGTATTCCTCTCGGAAATCATTATGCTTACTATAAGAATGCCCCATCTGTAATACAGGACTAGAGAGCTCATCTATCATGCAGCAACCTTGCATATAAGTCCACAAGAGTTACTAGCACACATAGGAAAAAAATACTAGCTCACTTGTCCATGCATAACTATGTTAGCCATTTGTGTCTCATTCTTCATTGGAATAGGTGACCAAACAAGTGAGTATTTGGTGTTGGAAAGAGAGATTTGGAAGAGTTAACTCTGTAGTTGAGTTGAGCAGAATGACGATTGCTCCAAGCATATTAAAACCTGGTTAGATTTTACATATTCCTCCATCCACCTTTAAAAAACATTCCTCACAAAAATACTTAGGCTAGAAAAAAATCACAGACATTTTGCTTTCCAAATAACTGAATATTTTACTCATTGGGTTTCCCGAAGTTATAGCAAACAAGTCTCCATCCGTTGGTGGAAAAATAAAGATGAAAAGGGTTCTAAATGACTTTTAAAAAACAAAAGAAAACATGTTTCCTTTAAAACCTCCCTTTTGGAGAAGAAGAAGAAGAGTTTGGATTTGATATCCCGCCTTTCACTCCCCTTCAGGAGTCTCAAAGCGGCTAACATTCTCCTTTCCCTTCCTCCCCCACAACAAACACTCTGTGAGGTGAGTGGGACTGAGAGACTTCAGAGAAGTGTGACTGGCCCAAGGTCACCCAGCAGCTGCATGTGGAGGAGCGGAGACGCGAACCCGGTTCCCCAGATTACAAGACTACCGCTCTTAACCACTACACCACACTGGCTCTCAAATTCAGCTCACTTGTTTTTTCTTGCAGCTGGGAGCCATTGACAGCATGGCTCATTCCAGGAAGCATGAAGAGAAAGAGACTGAGAAACTGGGGAGCAGAGGCTGCTGAGGTCCTGTTAAGCCACACTCATTCTGGTAACTTGAGCTCAGGACTCAGGTTAACCATTTAATCAATGCATGCAAGTGTGATTCAGGAGCTGTCTATGACAACATTTGGAAGTCTGCTCTACTACTTATTTATTTGTTTTTTGTCAAGTAGAATATATGACAGTGAGAATCAGGGCCTTCTCTGTTGATGCACCTTTCCAAAGAAGATCCATATTGCCAACTCCCTTATTACATCTGCTGTGTGCTGTTGCTGTTTTTTATATAAGGGAATCAGTTTATATCCTGTCAATGCCAAGCATAAAATTCTAGTATACCTATGTGCTGAGCATCACTAGGTGAATGAGCTATATTACATTTGGAGCATCCCAGCATTCTACATTCTGTTTGATCTTGTTCATCAATACTTTGTTTAAAAGGTAACATATAGGAGAGGGGATTGAATTGCAATTACTGGTTTTGCCCCCGATCTCTATAACTTCACCCAGTGTCATTTGCAAAAAAAGCCTAACTGTAGTTGCTATCCTCCCTTTTTACACAGTACTGATCATGCGTAGGGAACCTGTGCACATATATTGGAATATAACCCTAATCTCCTCCGTTGTGCTTCCATTTCTACACAGAAACTAATGACTGTACAGAGCTTTAATCACATGCCTCGGACTAACAGCTCTGGGCATATCAGTAGTTTGTGGTTTGGTGGTTGGAGCTTTTGCATCTTTGTAGAATTGGCCGTGAGTTCCACCTTAGGAGAACAGCTAAGCTTATCCTGTGAGTAGAAGCTTTTTTTCATTTAGGAATGATGTGTGGGTTTCTGTTAGAGTGAAGGGAAACATAATATCTTGGAATAACTGTCATTCAGGTAAATTCTTGAAATTGTTACAAGATGCAAGAATTGTTAAAACTAGGATGTTAAAACTCTATGTAGTTTCCAGAAGAATGTCCTTCTTCTTTTTAAAAGAAAATTACTCTCAAAATGCATACACTGAGGAACGTGTCTGAAAGGGAAGTAACAAATTACTGAGTCTGAAGTAGGCATAAGAATGGATAGTGATCAATTAGCCCTGATTAGAACAAAAGCCTTTTTCCAAATGGCTTTGCCCTACTGGCAACTTAATCATTAGTAATTTATATTTCTTTAGGTTAAATGCCTGCAGCTTCTGTTTCCCATGTGGGACATTTCTTTCACTCAGTTCTGAATATTTATTTATTAAATTGATGTTCTGCCCTTCCTCCCAAAGGGGGATAGTCTATTTGATCCCACTTGGCTCTTGCCCCTACATTTGCCTCCTTGAACTGCCCTCAAAGTCTGAGGGGCTTTCCCTGGTGATAGGAGATGGAGAAGAGCCATGTGCAATCCAGTGACATCCCATCAATCTGTGTAACATGTTGTTGCTTAGTCGTTTAGTCGTGTCCGACTCTTCGTGACCCCATGGACGACAGGCACTTCTGTCTTCCACTGCCTCCTGCAGTTTGGTCAAACTCATGCTGTAGCTTCGAGAATACTATCCAACCATCTCTTCCTCTGTCATCCCCTTCTCCTTGTGCCCTCCATCTTTCCCAACATCAGGGTCTTTTCCAGGGAGTCTTCTCTTCTCATGAGGTGGCCAAAGTATTGGAGTCTCAGCTTCAGGATCTGTCCTTCCAGTGAGCACTCAGGGCTGATTTCCTTAAGAATGGATAGGTTTGATCTTCTTGCAGACCATGGGACTATCAAGAGTCGCCTCCAGCACCATAATTCAAAAGCATCAATTCTTCGACGATCAGCCTTCTTTATGGTCCAGCTCTCACTTCCATACATCACTACTGGGAAAACCACAGCTTTTACTATACGGACCTTTGTTGGCAAGGTGATGTCTCTGCTTTTTAAGATGCTGTCTAGGTTTGTCATTGCTTTTCTCCCAAGAAGCAGGTGTCTTTTAATTTCGTGACTGCTGTCACCATCTGCAGTGATCATGGAGCCCAAGAAAGTAAAATCTCTCACTGCCTCCATTTCTTCCCTTTCTATTTGCCAGGAAGTGATGGGACCAGTGGCCATGATCTTCGTTTTTTTGATGTTGAGCTTCAAACCATATTTTGCGCTCTCCTCTTTCACCCTCTTTAAAAGTTCTTTAATTCCTCCTCACTTTCTGTGTAACATAGCAAGCACTTATAAAGCATGCACAGATTTCTCAATGCTGTACATGCTAAAAGATGGTAGTCCCCCTGATTGCTCTGTAATATTGTAATTCAGCCTGAACATGTGCCAGTGAATATTTCCCCCTCTCTCCCCTTCCCCTGTTATTTCCCCAGTGTTGGATTTAGATTGTAAGCTATTTTTAATGTTGCATTTCTTATATAATAAAATTGTAAGGAGGTTGTCACGTTACAGCCCAAAGGCTGCTGCTGCTAATAATAATAGCAGAAACAATAGTCTCATCATCAAAAAAGCCAGATAGAATAGGGGAGGGAGAGAATGGGAGGGGATAAGAAAGAAAGCATTGCTTTGATCCATCAAGACAAAATATGCACACATCACTTTTGTCCTTGGATGGTTTTATTTGAAAAAATATATATTATTACAGGCAAGCAATCTTTGAGGTGGCTTGCAACTACCCAGTGGCCTTTGACTGGTGGTAGAAGCCAGTGTCCTTCCTTCCACTTGTGCAGTCCCAGGGGAACTTCTAGCAGGAAGGGATGGGGAAGAAAATTCCCAGGTGGAATCTACTACCTAGCTCTCTGAAATGTTCCTTGTCCTGGGGACTGTCAAGCAAGACTATATTTTGTTTAATTGATGACAGGGCCACAATTGTAGTCTTATGTTAAGTGTGGGTTGGCTGTATGAATCTGTTCTGAAAGAAGGTTATGTTCAGAGGGAGAAGGGTGACTGGAATGTTGAGTGATTGACAGGCAGAGAAGGTCACTTGGAAGATGACAGTTAGGGTGCGTTTCTGTGAGTTACAGAAAGAGGACTGGAGAGGGAACATGAGAGAGATACCAAAGTCCTCACAGTCCAGGCCTGTCAGCTTTGAAGTGTTTACAGTTCAGGTAAGCCAAGAGGTTAGAAGTTAAATATGTCAATGGAGAAAGGGGGAAGAAATCACAGGAGATGAGTAAAAATAGTTGGAGAGGGATAATATCTCTTGTGGTACACAATGGCTGGATTTTTGATGGGCAGCTTCTGAAGGCACAGGAGAGGCTTCATCAAGAGAGGAAGGGAGGGAAAATTAGGGGTCAGCTTTGTTACTCTGTGTGCCCAGTATCTGTTAAATATCTTCTTTTTCTATTGCAACCTTTAAAGGCTAAGCTTGCCAGTTAACTTGCAGACCCCCCCCCAGCTGGGCCTGCTCCTGGGCCTTTAACAGCCATACAGGGTACAGAAATCAACCAGATTTTTGTAGGGTATGGGAAACAATATAACACCTTGCTAATCCTGCCCAGTGAACCAGTTGTTAAAGGCAAACAAGCGGTGGCAGCGACCAGTAAATGTTGGCAACCCTATTAAAGACATGGGGGGGCTGATTAGTGTCATGTGACAAAGGTCTTTGAGAGCAGAAGCAGTAAAGTGTAGAAAGTGTTGGAAAAATGCTGAAAAGTGCAGACTCATTCAGCTAGCTGACTCACTCTGACTCATCCTCTAGATGACTCATTCCTTGTACAAATATTGTATCATTTACAGGAAGACACATGGAGCCAGAAAGGATAAATACAATGGGCTCAGTGTGTGCTGCCTAGTCTAGTCTAATCTTCTGTTTTACTTTGCTCTCCATCCATTATGTGTTTGTAAAGAAGTATGTTTTGCCTCAGTAAAGTTTCATTCATTTACTGTGAAGACTGTGTTTTTGACTTCACTGCACAACAATTAGTGCTTCTTTTCTAATGCTCTTCCCTTTAAAAAGTTAGAAAAATGGGTACTTGTAATATGGAGGAGCACCCTCATTTAAATGGTAAAGGTAAAGGGACCCCTGACCATTAGGTCTAGTCGCGGATGACTCTGGGGTTGAGGCGCTCATCTCGCTTTATTGGCCAAGGGAGCTGGCATGCAGCTTCTAGGTTATGTGGCCAGCATGACTAAGCTGCTTCTTGCGAACCAGAGCAGTGCATGGAAATGACGTTTACCTTCCCGCCGGAGTGGTACCTATTTATCTACTTTTACTTCGTGCTTTCGAACTGCTAGGTTGGCAGGAGAAGATTCGAACAGCCGACCTTCTGATCGGCAAGCCAAGGCTCTTTGGTTTAACCCACAGTGCCACCCGCGTCTCATAATTTAAATGGTAGCTTCAGTTAAATAGATTCATGTGCCTTTTCCACTGAACAGACATATCTCGGACTTGAATCCATCCCACTGATAGCAATCCTGTTCTCAGGTAGTGATGAAGTTGTAACTAACCACAGGATAGGGTACCATGCCATATCAATATTGCCTAAATAATGGGTTTGTTAAGAGCATTGATTATCCTTAAGAACTGTAATTTTGCTGCATTTTGGAGCTTCAGTAAATACAGAAAGCCATTAATACAAAATGTTAAAGTGAAAGTCTTTCTTAAATAATAAAAAAATAACATTTGATACAGTTTTCAAAAAGGCGACTACAATAAGAAAGGCTGCTATAGATAATGGAAGGAGTGAAGTGGTATTATATGCATATGTGTGTGGCACAAAGGGATGCTTCAATTAACTTGTGTAGAAAATTCAGAAAATGTTTTCCTTGGTGGTATTTAATGGTCAGGCTGAAGTTTGCTCAAACTGTTTCTCTGCTACTCTGAAAAGATAAGACAGTTGAAGTGGTATATAGCTATATTTTTAGTTTAGCATATGCCCGTAGAATGCCTAAAGTTAGCAACCAAATGTTAAAAGCTAGGTGCAAATGTTCCGTTCTTCTCTGCATAGCAAGAAAAGCAGCTGCTGTATTGGTGTGATTTTCTATTTTCAAGGTCAAGTGAGAAGATAGTAAATTGCTTAATTAACACATTGTCCTGTGGGATAGTGGTTGCCAGATGTTTCCCTTTTCTTTTCTTTTTTTAAATTAATATTTATTAAGTTTTCAAAGAATAACAACAAAAATTTCCAAAAAAATTGAAAATACAAAAAGCAAAAATGATAAAGAAATAAAAAAGAAAAAACCCAGCCATAAAGAAAAAAAGAAAAGAGAAAAACAAAAATATAAAATCATTTACGATCTCTATTAACTTCCTTTCTAGACTTCCTCCTCCTCCCCTCTCTTGTTTCTTAATTTTTAATTTTTACAGCAAATCCTTTCTGTTTTTTCATAACATTCTATCATTACATTTCCTTATTCTATTTTCCCTCTTGTCATTAAAAACTTTAAAACTCAAAGCTTATATTCAGTATTTACCAAATTCTTACATCATTACCTTTTTGCAAATCATTTACCAATCATTACTTAAGCCATATAGTTTCATTCAACATCTTTCAAACATTTATAGACGTTCCCAATATTGGAAAATAGAAAAATAAAATAAGATAATAAGTCAGACACAATCCAGTCAACTTCCAGCGCCCCTCCCCTGGACCCGGGATTGTCAGTCCTTTTAACCTCAATAGTCCGGCTCCTTAACCTGGTTGTCTCGTATCCGAGGCCCTCAAATCTCTTTCTTGCCCCTCTCGCAGCTCTTCTTGATATTTCCCTTTCAGTCGTGGGTACTCCAGCAGAAAGATACTTTTGACCTTTTGCAACAAGTCCATCCCATACCCATTGTCCAAGCCAGACAGCAGATAATACCACTTCAAGTTTCCTTGAAACTTGGAGGCTCCGACTACTCCAATCCTCTGATGGCCCATCACCAGACTCGGAAAGTCCAGATAACCATATAAAGGGGGGTCAATCCATCCCCCATTTCCAAATCTAACCACATTTCATCTTTCCGAATCTGATTTATCCCAAGTTCATTTATCAAGTTCAAAGGCTGATCCTGCCGGTCCAAAGGTCCCTCCATCTCTGAAGCCTCCATCACTACAGCAGGTTCATATACTTGTAGATATTTTAACTGAGTTCCATTTACTTGCTGCTGTGCTCTAGTAACTTCCGTCCTCAAAGTCGTCTCCTGACGCATCTGGTCCAGCTGGGCACTTAGTTTTGAAAAACCTTCCAGGAACATTTGTTCAAGCCTTTGTACAAGCATTGTCCTTCAGGGTCAAAGAAAATTCTTTCCCACGGTTATAGTCCTTCACTTTTAAGCTCTCTGCGTTGCAGTTTCACTAAATCCCACTAGAGGGAAAACCTTTTGTTCCTTTTTATTTTTTTTATTTTTTTTTATAAAGGAAAAAAACATCAGCAACAGTCTTTCTTTTCCAGATACACTTTAACAAATTCCCCCTTCAAAATTCAAGAGGCAACAGTAGAGTCACAATGTTACCTTTCTTTTAACTATCTGTCGAGCTGGACAAGCTTCAAGACGTCAGTTCTGACAGCCCGCTCCTGGTTCAGGGCAGTGGAAAATTACTTTGTTTTAAACTCACATCCGCAGGGTTAAAAAGTCCAAAACGGCCCCCTTCTTCTCCTGCAGTCAAAGGGGGGTTCAGAAATCTTAGATGTTGAATTCTAATTCTCTCAGAATTTAATTTTCAAGCTTTAGTATATTTTGTCTTTGCTTTCTTCACGTAACAAAAGAACAGAAGGTTGACTTCCTGTTTAGACCTTCTCATTCCAAGTCCCAATTAAATTCAATTTCAAGTCCAATTTATTTATTTATTCACCAGTCTTAAAAGTGATTCAGCTCTTCCAAGATCAGGTACTCACGGATAGATGTTTTAGATGCCAAATTGTCCCAGGAGAAAGGCAGCGCTCTCCGGAAACGGCAGTGCGGCTTTGCTGCACGAAAGAAGCATTCGACTCACAGCACCACGCACCTCCCACTCCGGAGCCCGTTACCGGGCTCCTGTACAAGGGGAGAGAGCGCTCACGGTGCCCGCTGAGTCCCACGTCCACGGGCTTCATCCGCCTGTGGGTTTTAAGGGTCCCCGCTGCGCCGTAGCGGTAGGACCCAAGCTTCCGTGCAGCGGGTTCCCTTCAACTTGAAGGGAATTCCGCCATTTTCCGGAGGCGCCACCCCGGAAGTCAGATGTTTCCCTTTTCTTAATATACGTCACTCATGCCACAGGACTGTCCCTTATCTTAGAAAGTGTCAACAATTGTGGCTTATCACCAATCACTCAGCTATATTGGTAACGAAAACGCAATTTATATGTGTTGTATATGTGATAGAACATTGTGCCACCAGATGGTGCTGTAGTGTCCTGATTTTCTGTACCTGTTTCCCCTGTTTAAATTTACAACATATTTAACTGAAGCACTTCTTTGATGTGTCTTGATCCATCACACACAGTTCACAGGCCATTTTTAAGAAAGTGATGCCCCCTGGTTTGCAAGCCTTGGCAGATTCTAAGCTAAGAGAACACATTAAAGACTTGCTTATTCTTAGTCGCAAGCTTAGCAGATTGGTATGGACGGTATTTTCAGCCTGAACTGGCCCATCATGGAAAGCAGAGAGAGGATGTTTCTGTCCTTCCGATCCTGATGGGGACAGGACACCTGAAAACAATGTGATTGGAGTCTAAGATCGTTGGATATTAAGCTGCCATTGTTGTTGTTGCTGTTACCACCAGTAAGTCTCAGGACAGTTTACAACAATTTAAAATTCAGAATTAAAAACAGTTAAAACTGATTACAGTCAGAGGTATAGGGTCTCTGTAAAAAGCTGTTCCTAGCTTGCAAGTGTAAGAAGAACCAAAGTCTGAAGGAGTTTTTTTTATTTATAGCTAGCAGCCTCCCATAGTTTCTTAGCCAGTGATTATATTGTTTAATCATATGCCCAGAGCATTGTGAGCTCTGGCATAAATGAAGGTGAGCTGCAGGTCTTAATCTTATGCACTGAGGAAATTTAAGGCCCATGAAAAATTAATCAGAGACCAAAACAAGGAGGGAAAAATATTGCAAGCTGTGCCAAGATAGGCTTATTTTTATTTTTCCTACAATAAAAGAAGTTATTAATTTACCTATGTTTACTCAGAGGGTCAACCTTAGCATCCACTTATATAGAGTCCATAAAATACTATTACTCATTATTTATGTGCCCTATATACTTGTCATGGAATTAAATTAGTATATTTATGTGTTTTAAAATTTCTTGGAGGCAGGAATGCAGCAGATAAGTAAACCAATTGAAGTTAATGGTTGGGCACTTACATGGATCAACTTCACTTCAAGGACGCATTCCACAGGCTGTGAACAAATTACCATTTAGTCCAGCTCCAGCACACTCCCATCACTGGGGTTTGAAGCCAAGTACATGGTATCTTAGCCTTGATCCATATGCATCCTGGAGTTTCTTGAGAAATTCTCCTGTTTGATGTGTTTTACCTCAAACCAGCTTCCATCTGATTTGAATATATGCAAGCCAAGGTTCAGCTGAGGTGTGTACAGTTAAGACAGTCACTGGGCGTGTGCAGATGACAGCACATGCTCAAAGGACAGTTTCCTTGAATAGTGGTTTGGAGGGTGTTGCAGGTATGGGGAAACAGGTCCTGTGCATTGGGTGAGGATACCCCTATCCCCTTTGTGCTGTATTCAGCATGTGCAAATGCTACTTGAAATGCAGTGGGGAAATACAGCTCTGCAGTATTTTAAGTTTAAATGTCTAGATTCCAGAGTTTTGCTCTATTCTGTGTGTGTTTGTGTTTTGTGTGATGGATAAAGTCTCTAAATGTAATAACCCTAGTGGTTATAAAATGGCAACAGTCGGGAGTGGTGTCTTGTTCTCACAAGGTTCCTGAACCATAGACTCATCAAATTGTACAGTTGGAAGGCAAAGGACCCTGAAGACCATCTAGTCCAAGCCGCTGCAATTCAGGAAACATGCAGCTGTCCTATATAGGGATCGGACCTGCGACCTTATCAGCACCATGCTCTAACCAACTGAGCTATGAGTCATTAGGGTACTAGCCAGAGACAACATCAACGTGGGCCAAAGCAGAAGCAGTATCCAGGGTCAATCCAAGGCTGTGGTCTGAGTAATTGGATGTCCAAAGCCAAGAGTCAGGTGAGAGGCAAGGGACATGACAGTGTGAGATCATGTCTCAATTGGTCTGTGAGCAAATAATGACATAGGTAAGAAACAGGTCCAAGGCAGTTTGTGATCAGATTCACAATAGGCAAGGGGTCAGAGACCAGGATTAGATGGGCCATTGGCCTGATCCTGAAGGCATTTCCTTATGTTCTTAAGCTTCTGTCCCTCACCTACAGCTCTTAGGGCTTATCCACGCTTTTGCCCTGTTCTTTCCAGGTATGGTCCCAACATTAAAGCTCTATGTCCTCTCTGGCCCCATGCTTCCCCCCAAAAAACCTGCTGTTTAGTGCTCAATTGGAGCAAACGTCAATTTGAGTTTGAGTCTTAACGAGTGGGATTTTGTGGGGAACGTGCTGGAGGGCAGTGGAAAGGGCACTCAGACACAGAGCTTTAAAGCACTGACCATACCTGGAGAGGGTGAAGGAAAAATAAGTGTGGATAGGCCCTTAGACTCCATGCTCCAAGGCAGCCCACTGGTTTTCCATGACTGGATCAGGCTTGGACTTTGCCTGTACAGCAGTCAGCTCTGATTCCATCTGTCTTAACTGCTATTATGCATGTGGGGCTTCCTACATTTCTTTGTAGCTCAACCTTCCCACACACTACTTATTAAATTTCCCTCAGGCCCTGTTCCTGGGGCTTCTGTCTCTCAGATACCTAAGGCCCAATATCACAACATTTCATTGAATGTACCATATTGGCCCAAACATAAGCCACTCCCCCCCCCCCAAATTCTGATTGTGAAAAGTGTGGCTTATATTCCAGGAGGGCCATTGGGGGTGCAGGGGTAAGGCTACCAGCAAAGCGATGCAGCTCCCCCCCCCCGGAAGCAGCCTGGGAGCGTGGGACAATGGTGTGCCACCCACCCACGACTTCCAAGCCTTCCCCGCTGCCAGCTTGGGGAGGTAGTGCCAGGAGTGCCAGGAGACGGTAATGTCGGGAGGCGGGCACACAGCACGCTTGGAACTGAGCGCCGGCTTGGGGAGTGGGGCCCTGAGTGCCAGCCATCCCCCATTCAGGGCGGTAGTGCCGGGAGGCGGGCCACATCCACAAATAAGCCTTGAATTCTAAAGGTGCAGCTTATTTGCGGCTAAGTCTTACATTCGGGCCAATACGGTAAGCATTTCTTTCTTTCTTTTATATTTCATCTGTTTCATTTGGTGATGTTAAATGCCCACCCTCAATTCCCTCCAATGGACTAGGTTACTCTGTGTGAGTTCACACCCACAGAAGCTTGGTCCTGATGCCATTTCTAAAATCCGACGAGTGATACTCTGGAAGGAAATGCTCCTTTGCACAAAGAATAAAGGTATCTATCAAGTGAAGAGAGGATCTACGCAAACATCAAAGACCCTGATTTCAATGACTCCTCCACCAAACTGTTTGGGAGGTGATTCCCAGCTTCAGACAGTTTGAAACATGAGGATAAGGCAGCTACATTCTCAGTCTCTTTACCTTATAAAGCAGGTGTTGTTGTCTGTCATTCCTTAGATGCCATTCATTTCTTGATCTGTTTCATAGAATCATAGAATTGTAGACTTGGAATGGACCCTCAGGGTCATCTAGTCCAACCCCCTGCAATGCAGGAATCTCAAATGGCCATCCAACCTCTGCTTAAAACAACCCTACTTAAAAATGTCAATGTTTGCAACTTTGTGTAGGAGGTGAGGAAGGCCAGAAAGGAGCTAAAATATTTTGGTTAAGATTCATCCTTGTTATGTTTTGAACAAAATGCTACTTTTGTGTTGCTTGTGCATTATGTAGCAGAGGAGTTTAATTATGTGCCATAAAGCTCAGCGAAAGCTCTTTCCCTCTTCATTTATATTCAGCGGAGGCCAAAGCAAGGGCTGACGCAGAGGCAAGAGACTTACAATTATGTTGCATAAAATTATTAGGCAATTCGGAGCATTGTTAGAAACTGTCCATCATCTGCTACAACAGGTTGTGATGCACATGACTTATAAAAGGGCTGTAGGTGGCGTGCAAAATGAATCCCTCTGCCATGTCAGCAAGATGAAAGAGATATATGTGTATACTGAAAATCTCTATTTGGTAGCACAGTATATTTTATATTTGCATATATTTCAGTACATTTTAACTTTGCTACCTGTAGCCTTTTCCCTTTATTGAATGTGAAGAGATTCCATTAGTATCCCAAGCCATATAATTCTGATCCTGCAGGAGCTGTGCTTGCTACCTATACATTACTATGCCCAATTTAAGGGTTCAACAAAGCCATGAATGGCTGGGGACCTAAATATGTGACAGGTCATCTTTCCCTGTATGTTTCAGGCTGGTGTTTGAGATTGGTGAAGGAGGCTTGGCTGGTAGCGTTGCCCAGTTTAAGGTGATATTCTACCAATTTGTGAAATTCCTTCCCATTAGAAATACAGTACAGTGGTACCCTGGTTCTCAAATTTAATCTGTTCCGCAAGTCCGTTTGACTCCCGAAACGGTTTGAAAACCAAGGTGCAGGTTCCGATTGGCTGCAGGAGCTTCCTGCACTCAATCGGAAGCTGTGGAAGCTGTGTCAGACGTTTGACTTCCGAAAAACGTTCACAAACCAGAACACTCACTTCCGGGTTTGTGGCATTCGGGAGCTGATTTGTTTGGGAGCCAAGCCATTCAACTACTAAGTTACCACTGTACTGTCTTTTTGCCATAATTGTGAAGTGTTTTTCTCCATTCAGGCCTTTTGGAGAGATGGAAACAGCAAGGCTGGAGATGACACTCAGAGCTTGTTGAGATTAGAGTTCCCTGGGCTTTTTTAAATGCAGGGTTTTTGTGCATTGCTGTATACCATTCATGATTGTCAGATGCAGAGTGGTTTAGAAATCCAATGAATTAATGCATTCAAAAGTTATATTTCAGTGGGTGGGGTGCATGGAAAAACATACAAAATTAATAGATTTAAATGTGATTTATTTCATGCATTTAAAAAAATATGCAGGAAAACAAGACAGAATGGGCGTATAATTGAGTGCATGCAAAATTGGGGGTGGGTGGGGAATAAGTTGTCATTAGTTGGAAAGCTCACCTTGTTTTGAGGCAAGCATGATCAACTGATACTTGTATTTCCCAGCCTTGGAAACATCACCTAGCTGAACAGATTCCTCAAAGAAATACCTAATTCACCACCAACTGATTGAATTGCTTCCGTGCTACATAATACCTTTTTGTTGTTGTTCTTGTGGCAGCTGCTTAATCTCGGTGCCTTTTTCCTTCCTCTGTTTCATCCTCATAATCCTCAGCTTTATTTGCCTAGCCTGTTGCTTCAACCAGCAATCAAAGGCACCACCATAATTTTGTTGGAATGCCTGTGATGACATCATACCAGACACAATGGGTTGTACCCAATGCAACAAATTGTTTTGCACCAGCAAGACCCTGTTGCAAAAGAGAACACCTAACCAGGTTGCTGGCAATAGAATGTGCAACCTGGTACACAATGAGTTTCTGCTAGCACAGCTGCTGCATTGGTTTTCTTTGTTGCACAAGATTAAAACTCACACCTCCCCTTACACACAGCCCTTGGGCTAGCAGGCAGAGAGCCCTGGATGCAGCCCAGGGTTATCACATTGGCATAGTTTTGCATTGGTCAGCACAGCCTTTGTGTGGGCAAATGAGGAGCAAAGAAGAGAAATTATACTCAAAGGAATGACAGCGGTATAGGGGGAAAAGCACTGTCCAGTACTGAAACAGCACAAACCTCTGATAAAGTGGGTTTGCTTTTTGGAAAGTCATTTTTCAGCTGTGTTGCATGTGTTACTTTCAAATATCAAAATTAGAGAATATTCAACATAGCTGTAGAAACTA